TTTTTTTTTTTTTTTTTTTTTGTCTTTTGTCTTTTTTTTTTTTCCGTGTCCGGCAACGGATCGCAACCCTCAGTGTCGCCCCCGTACCGGACCGGGGACCGGCAACGGGATCGCAACCCTCGGTGCTGCTCCCGCCCCTCGCTCAGCCAGTGAGCGGGAACCGGTCTGTATGTGGGATCCGAACCCTCGGGCGGGAGCGCCGCCGCGCTTCCCAAGCGGCACACTATCCAGTGCGCCACTGGGCCGGCCCAACTGAAGAATTTTTTAAAATAAATTTATCTAAACAGGCTTGGGTCTGCAAAAATGTACTGACTGAAAATTAGTTGCAGGACTGTATGAGAAAAAAAAAGTAATAAAAATGAGGTTTTAATATGTCTATGGAGGTTAGTCAAATATTGGTGTAAAATTCCATTTTTTAACCTTTTTTAATTTTGAAGAGAAGAAAAAACAAGGGATGTGTGCTTCCCTAGTGATAGACACAGATGGTACTTGTAAAGTGCAGTAAATATCACTGAGAGAAATAATAAGAATGTCCAAGGGAAGAAGAAATGAAGCCAAGAGCTAATAAGTACAGGGGAGCTTGAATAAATAGAAAAGCCTATGAGGAGAAAATTTCAAAAGATGATTATCTTGGAAAAAAATAAATTAGGTCTTGTAAGATTCATTTAAAAAATGCAGATGGGCTTGTATGGAAGAAAAAAAAAAAACAAATTCAGGGGGCAGAATGATTAAGTGCACAAACCTAGGGTTTGGGACACTGAGGCTCTAATCCTAGATCTGCTATCTATTTACAGGCTGTGTAATCTCTAACAGCACAACCAACCCCTCAACCTCATTTTTCTATGCAATGGGAATGATGATAATACTTACCCCATAGAGTTTAAGAACCAAGAGTGAGTGTACACCTGTGTGTGCGTGCAGAGCTGGAAGGGGGTTGGAGAGAGAGCACTTAGAATACTGTCTGGTCCAGAGTAGCTACTATGAATGGATGTAATGGTTTACTATTATTAAAACAAGGGTGACATTCAATATAATTGGACTTTTTCTTATATAAAAGTGCATCATTTCTTTTTTTTTTTTTTTGTCTTTTGTCTTTTTTTTTTTTTTTGTCTTTTGTCTTTTTTTTTTTTTTTGTCTTTTGTCTTTTTTTTTTTTTTTGTCTTTTGTCTTTTTTTTTTTTTTTGTCTTTTGTCTTTTTTTTTTTTTTTGTCTTTTGTCTTTTTTTTTTTTTTTGTCTTTTGTCTTTTTTTTTTTTTTTGTCTTTTGTCTTTTTTTTTTTTTTTGTCTTTTGTCTTTTTTTTTTTTTTTGTCTTTTGTCTTTTTTTTTTTTTTTGTCTTTTGTCTTTTTTTTTTTTTTTGTCTTTTGTCTTTTTTTTTTTTTTTGTCTTTTGTCTTTTTTTTTTTTCCGGGTCCGGCAACGGATCGCACCCCTCAGTGTTGCCCCCGTACCGGACCGGGGACCGGCAACGGGATCGCAAGCCTCGGTGCTGCTCCCGCGCCCCGCTCAGCCAGTGAGCGGGAGCCGGTCCGCATGTGGGATCCGAACCCTCGGACGGGAGCGCCGCCGCGCTTCCCAAGCGGCGCACTATCCAGTGCGCCACTGGGGCCGGCCCAAAAGTGCATCATTTCTCAACATTAGTCTATTACAATGTGCTGCATAATTTAGAGCAACCTTACTAAAAATCACATATTTCTATATCACAGGAATTTCTCATCCCACGTTTTACCAAATGAGAGAGCTCTTGCTTTCTTCTGAAGCCATCTGGATAGAAATACTGACCCACACTGACACATAGATTCTCTTTCCCGGAAATGCAAAATTGGCAAGGTTTTTTGTATGGTTTACGTGA